AATGGCGGGAAAGGTTTTCGCTGCCGTTGTCTTAGGAGACATCCAAGATAGTTTGAGTGGCTGCATAGTATATTCTTAATGTTGGTGGTATTAAGGTATGGGAAACAGATGATACTGCTATATGGAATGGCTTTGTGAAAACAATTATGATAAATTAAAGTGAAAACTTTAGGTGTAGTTGAACGTCTCGGCATTACCGATAGCAGGCAAATCGTAAAAACAAGTGAAGTATGAACGGATGTTTGATAGAGCAAAAACGTGTTAATACAATTGTTTCATGCATGTAAAGTTTGTGCTTGGATGAAGCTACTGGTAAAAGTAACTTACTTGCTTGGATTATTGTATTTTTGAAATCGCGATATAAAGGCGAAATTCACAACTAATTAATCTTATCAACCACCATCTCTTGTACAAAATTACGCATAAAGCGACACATGCACATCTCTTTCGTATCCAGTTATGAAAGCATCATTATTTTGCTTGGTGTACCGGAATACAGAGTCCCTCCAGGCCAATTTCTCTTGTCAAAAAATTAGCCGCTCCCCCTTTTTCATGTCTGCTGAAAGCCTTATATATATCATATTTGTCAAAATTCCTGGCGTACAAAGTCACCTTAAGTTTGCTTAACAGTTTGTGGTTAATTTATTACTTGAAAAAAGTAATTTTCGCTGTTGGCTTATTACTTTGCATGAATGATTCACAAACTTTGTTGGTGCCCGAATATAACGATAACTCTAACCATAACTTTAGAATAATGTTTTCGATATCGATATCAATTCGGATTGCGTTTTTAATGAGATAATTAGATATTTACTGGGATAAAACCCATTTTATCCACAACTTGACTGTACCCGCATTCCTGGCTTCTTACACTTTCGGATTTTGACGGTCTCGATGAACTTTGGGACTGGGCTGCTCCGTGGCAGTTGCCCATAAATTATGCAGAGGGCCAAATAGCTCCCAAACGCGTTATTTGCTTGGCGGTAATGAACTACACCATGTCCGGGAATATGTGGACAGCGCAATAAATCAGACAAATACGCCGCTAGCGCAGCCCACAGGACCGAGGCCGAGCCGATTGACACAGCCCAGAACAAGCAAGTCGAGAGCTCTTGAACGACTCCTGGCCGATCCAAATCGGGTGCAGAGAAGCGGAGATCGAGGCGAAAACAGGAAGGCGCATCTTCCAAGTCAGAGCTCCCGAGGCGAAAGGACTGGCTCGTCTCTAACATCCGTACCTGTGTTGCGTTTTGGGACGGAAATCTAGTCGATATTCGATGGCGCGCGCGAGACCCTCATGTGCCCATTTTCGGTGTGCAATAAACGTCTACCCCCCTGTCTTGTCGTTCTCGCTACAATATGTCGCCCGGCTTAAACATCATATGAGTCAGCTCCAGCCAACGCCGACGAGAAGGACATCACGCATACCTCAAGTTCATAAGGATTTACATTCATGCCCCTTCGTATTCGTTCGCGTTGATGCTGTTCGCAAGCCCCTGCAACCGCCTTATGAAGGGCCATTCAAAGTGATTTCGCGACATGGCAATTATTACATTGTCGATCGTAACGGCACGCCTAATTCTGTCAGTTTCGATCGTTTGAAAGTTGCCTACCTGGATGATTGTTTCAGCTCCACTCCGGTTTTCTCACACTCATCCTCCTCTGCCACCGATCCTCGTACCGAATGTACTCGTATGCATCCAACGACAACTACGCCTACAGACTACCTGTTTACCACAACCTCCTACAACACATACTCGTTCTGGTAGGGCTAACAAAACTCCTGTGCGTTTCCGCGACTACACACAATAATACTATCGAGCGTTTTCTCTCTTTTTAACGCTCTAGAGGGGAGTTCTGTAGCGCCTGTAAATTTACTTCTTTCATTGTACATGGTTGGCGGCATCCGGTTTCGGATTTGCCTGTCACTGTGGCAAGCCACAGGACGCCTGCGCCTACAGAGGGACCATGGATGGCTTGCGCTGCACCACCCACAGCTCCAACCACATACCCCATATCCAGTGTAAACCCGAAGGAATAAGACCGGGAGGCATGCGGATGGGAACCACGTTTCATCAATGGAGCCGGCCCACACTCCTTCACAGACAAACACAAGCACGCTGTATTTGGGGAATCAAGCGCACACAAGGCGGTGGCTGGACCGTAGTCCGCTCCATACTGAGTGCATGGAACCACTCTTCGAGCCTAACACGGCCACAAGAACCGTGCCCCCCGTCCCCTCCAGCAACGACCAACTGTCTCCTGGAGCCAGTATGGACGAGGTGGTGGGTAATAGACAGGTAGGCACCTTGTCAACATGCACATCACGCGCAGCCACACCGGGGATATCAAACAACAGCCAAACACTTGAGAGAGAGAGAGAGAAAGAAAGAAAAAGAGAAAAACTCGATTAATGCATATGGAGACGGTGACATAAACCTTAATTAAATAGCATACGTAATAAGTTGTTTACAAACAAATCCTAGCTAAGTGCACGAGGTCAGGAAGTATAGTTCACGGAATGCCACGAACACAAAAATGTTATGGAAATCGAATACAATTGGCTGAAGCGATGTGCGCAAGTTAATGGAATAGAGTACAGGGAGATATTTATATGAGAAAGAAAAGCATTAAGGTAAAAACTGCAAACCCACCACCTGAAATAAAGAGACTTAGCATACAAGCACGCGGTTAGTAAATCGAATTCAGCGTGCCTACAAACGCTGTGCCGACTCATCGTAATTCTCTGCAGGACCCGTCGTCGCTTCTGTAGTGGCCCCAAATGGCACAGCGCATGGCCCACTAGTCATTTATATGAGAAAGAAAGACATTAGGAGGGAACCGAAAACCCACCACCTGAAATAAAGAGACAGCATGCAAGCACGCGGTTAGTAAATCGAATTCAGCGTGCCTACAAACGCTGCGTCGGTGCTGCCTACGTTCACTGCGGGACCCGTCGTCGCTTCGGCAGTGGTCCTGAGTGACCTCTCTCATGGCTCACTAGGCCTGCCTGACTAAGGCACTCGCGACCGCATGTTCTGCAGCACAATGCGCTCGATGTCGATGGAGTACAATTCATTGGTGCTTGCCGCTTCCGCACTTGCCCCTTCTTCTCTGTATGCATGAGGGCTTTCTCCCGCACTTCAGCAACCGCCTTCGTGATTAGATCGCGCCATGCACCACCATGTATATACCTTTCCTATTACAACCAATTCTTGTACATTAACCTTGTATCCTTGTTTTGATTGATAGATAACACACTTTATGAACCACGCGGGCAAATCGACGTGTTCTCTCTGTTTTTGTGCCACGGATTTTATGGCATTGTCGGTCACTACGTTCTAACCTAGAGCAATATTCATCTACAGATCTCGTTCCGTCTCAACTGGTTTCACCATCGTCGTTTGTCATCCATCGGAGTGGCTGACGCAAGAGGACTAGGAAGTTTTATGTGGTTGGACTTCTAACCCATGTCGAAACCCTTCTGTGAGTCTTGTCATTTCTGATCATCATTTATTCATCTTTACTTCTCTTTGGGTCCGAGTCCACTACAAGATCAGTATGATAGGAGCTTCCGGTACCGCATTTGCCAGTCAGTAAGAAAGGGTAATTACGCGGCCGAACTTGTGCTATTGCGCCAAGTTAGGAAACTGTTCTGTAAATCCAACATGGACAAGCCGCTCCCTCACATTACCTCCTCTTGTGTTTACATGTTTCACGTTACTTGTGGTAGCAGGAATGTTGGCCGAACTGAGGGGTTTTATCTACTATGATTTCAGAGCACATCCAATGAAACACAGTCGCCAAAGGTCTCAAACTGCCGGCTAGCTCGATTGCGTAATACATCCTGGACTGTAGCAGGTGCCAATATTCTCATGATTCGGGCAGAGTAATGCCCGATTGCTTCAATTTGCAGAAGCGTCAGCTATTCTGCAGCTAAAACCCGATTTATGCAACCAAACCGCTTACAGCCAGTCTCGCAGAGCATGTAGCCAGAAGCCTTCCAACAGCCGTCAAGGCAACTTTCCCAACTTGCTAGGTCTAGTGTACTTTCTCAACGGACCCTCTCATTCGTGTTCACAACAAACACAAGTTACCAACCTTGACCGCTTCTCTAGTCATTTATCAGTTCGAGTGCGTCTGTGGCGCCACTCACATCGGTCGAACGTCGCGGCACCTGTTAAAGCGCATTAATGAGCACTTTCCACGCTAGTTGCGTTGAGGCGGTGCCGGGGCTATAACTAACTGTTGCGGCTCATCTGGTTGATAGGGGGCACGAAGTCGATCCAGCCCGCGCGTTTCGATTACTATACAAGGTTCCTCCACTGCAGTCGAAAGGCCTGCACCTCAGCACCCTCGCTAAAACCGAGCAGATCAGTATTCGGTTGTATCAACCACTTTTGTTTTCACAAATGTAACTGCTCGAAGCTCTTAAGCCACCCTCGCCAGATAAAACGGACGATTCTGAGGCCTGGAGCAATCGTACGAGTACATCTGCGCTTATCGATTACGTCTGTTGCCCGTTTATGCTCCTGGTCGGAGCGTGATCTACATTTGAATTGATCGAATCCAGTTACGTCCTTTGCTATTGTACCCATATGTTGTAAAGGTCTGACGATGAATTCATCGAAAATAATTGTTTGGCTTCCCTTGCTTGTTCTTGATGATTAAATGGGAATCTTCCACTTACTGAAATGGTGAGGTTATTGATTGCTTTTCTTAGAACTGGATCACTTTTCCATCGCTTCCCTTTTGTACGCAACGCAATAATTTAACGGAATGTGTGTAAACAGCTGGCGAGAATACTCCAAAAACCTGAATTCAGGGTATCCTGTTAAACTGGAACTATTACCAAACACCAAGCTTCATACGTCCATCTCTGTAGTCGAATGGCTGGCAAATAACCATTATAAACATCACCTTTGTTCCGTTAATTCTGTGTTTCTTACTGATCAAGTGGTTTACATGTTATCTACCATCTTTTTATTGATTTTCTGATTTTTAAATGAAGGCTGGTGCCCACTCCACCATGTGGTTCAAGCATGATCGTATAATGTAGTTTGTCCAGATCTCTTCATGCTTCAAATTTGGTCCCCTAATAAGTCATGTGGAATATGTCTAAAAGTCTTTGTACTTGTTCTATTAATACCAGGAAGTCATGCGCTGCCATACAACGGAATCTTCTGCAATGACCTTTCCCCATCCTCACTATCAATCGAGGCATTGGCTCTGGATCTGCCCCTGACAGGTTCACACTGGAGTTCGCTGGAGCAGCTAACGTCAAAGCGAGCTCGAGATCTGTTCAGACCGATCTATACAATTCCCTGTCTGGCGGATAAAACGCCAAGCCGCACTTGTGTTCTTGAGCTAAGAAAACTGTTTGTCGAAAAGTGGACCCTATACACTGGAATTGATGGAACCTCCAGAGAAGCAAAAACAGAAGCCAGGCATTTTAGAACCTATATTGAACAGTCGCAAACCTTTTGGACAGTAATGACAAGAAAAACGTTTCGAGCTAGTTGCGTGATCGTTTGTCATGGACTTTTTCATTCACCAGAGAAAATGGATGTATACAATGCCACGTGTCCCGATCCGTGTTTGACGCAGATGGCGTGTCCACCCACCGAGTGTCACAAGACTGGAATATTTGCACACGAATACTGGTGTGAGTGCGGTACGGACAAAATTTGGGATATAGAGAGTTATGCCTGTCTTCCAAGGGAGATGTACGATTTGCGTCGTGGTAAACCTCACGTGAGTCAACCAGTGCGAACGTCGCTTTTCACCCTTGCCGTGGTGCATCCATTGGGGTAACAGGCATTTGTGATTTGCCACTCTAGCTCCTCGTGATGTTTTGCGGTAGCACTCCTTAGTTGCATCCGCTTTTCAGTGTCTTCTGAAGCAAATCCTAACTCTTTTCCTGGAGTTTGGGAACCTCAGATGGAGTGCCGCCTCGAGATGAGTGTCGTGGTGGGTCGTTAGTCAACGGCGTTCACTCGGTAGTACAGTCCAAACTGCTACGGCGACCAGCCATAAACATCCCCAACGTTTTCTCCTATGAATAATGTCCCTAGGCATGAACCTGCTTATGGCGACGATCTGACTAGGGCAAGCACTTTTAGTCAGTACTTTTCGTACTCGCCTTAGATAGGTTTGAGTGTAGTGAGTTTAAAAGACCCAATCAGAAAAGTACTTCGGTCCGACATTGTAAGGTTTAAAGCAGGGCAGTTGCAATATCTTTAGATCACTACATGCGACGTTGTAAACTAACTCCCATAGTACCCTTCTCAGGCGATAACCCTGAGTATGCGAGCCCAAGAGGAGCTCAGCTTTTGCAACCGTTTCGGCATGGTGCCAAGTGAAAGCAATATATTTATCTCATGTGTAGGATTTCCAAATAACCTGATTACTTTGACGAGCCGGTACGTTCAACGCATATTTGCAGTTCTTTGCAATTCATACCATACAGAACTGTCAGCCACCTCAGAGACACAGCCACGTTGCGCCCCACACGCTCCCTTACTTAACACCATCACGCATGTCATCAAATTGTTTGGTTTATTCCACCATGCAAGTTAGTAACTTCCAAGAGCACTTAGCTGCTAGTATGAACGTCTGGTCGGTGGGTTCATAATAACATATGCGCTGACACCCAGAAGCGACACCTGACAACTGTACGATCAGTCAAAACTGGTAGCTCAATACATTCTGCTCAACTACGACCGATGTTCATCCGCTGACCTAAGGAATATCAGCTACCAATGGTCGTCTCCACCATTATGTAATGGTGTTAGAGCGGGGCTCAGAAATACACTCCTTCCTTATTGCATGTTACTTCCAGTGGGTTGGCATCTGCTAACCGGTTCATTATCGTGTAAGTGGCTATCGACAGGTTCCTAGCCTTCATTTATCCGCATCCCTTAGTCATAAGTTACTCATTTTGCTACATTTAGACATTAAATGTTAGCGTTCAACCTACTAGGCAGTAGTAGTGTGTCAAGCAGTCAACTTTTTCTGCAATGGTCTAATGCTTCAGAGTGACGCTGTGTGTAGATACAAACACACAACAGGTGCTGCATCAGATAAAGCGGAACTGGCACTTTTTTCACTTGCGCTGTTAACGCTTAGGGGTGGGCGTCCTCGCGGTATACTCAGCCTGCGCACGACTGGTGCTGGGCGCGCGGCAGCGAAGCGCCGTTACGGCGTACAGCCGACATATTATTTATTATTATTTTATATTTTTATCCCGACTCACCGGGCGCTGAGTTACTTTCCCTAAAGATGAGTTTACCAACTGTGTTAAACGAAAGAGGAGTTTTAAACACACTGCTTTTACATGCTTAGGAACTTCAGATTTTCCAGTTTTGCGTGTTGCATTCATCAGTCCATCCATTAACCCCTAAATTTATCTAATCGACGACAGCTATCACATTATGTGGCTTTTCCAGTGAACGTGCAAACATTAGCGTCTTTTTTTCTCCACTTCAGCCGGAATCGGTCGGTCTTCGAAAATGCTACGGAAAAGTATACTGCAATCTAAACGGGACTTTATTCTGTCGTCAGGATGTGGAAAATCAGGTAATCATCAACAGCGCTACTTTATCGATATAGGACGGGTACCTTGAATACTTTTAAATTCGGAATTAAAGCGAAAGGCAGGTGGCATTTGAATTACAGTCCACCTCGCATATTCTCTCCTAAGTTTTACCCACGGAGCAGCTAGAGTTTAAAGCTCCAGTTGCACTTCTGAAAGATTTCTACTGTTTATTCAAACCACCTGCCCGTAAGAGTGGTCAGCAACCACCGCGATAGAAATCGCCGCTCTCTTTGATTTCCGCTCGTGACCACAAGAATAAGAATAACAGGGCCAAACAACATCTGGCCAACTGAATGGAAGTTTTACGCGCTCAAAACAAAATTTCAAGCTTAAGTGCAGTGGGTCATTGTTTTGGCACACCTATTTTTGCTCTCACTAACTGGCCACAGATATAATCAGTGCTGTATGTTTGCCTGCAAGAGGACAACAAACCAAGGAAACGCCACGCTGATCCCAACACAGAGTGACAACAATCAATTTCTCTCTACTTACAGGTCTTGAGTCCCATTGTTGTTAAAGAGTTCGTGTCAAGTTGCTGGCTTACCGCTGTTCTTTCTCAGGTTCATGGTTGCTTAGCTAGATTTCCTCAGCGATATCCGGGGATTCAGGAAATTGTACTTCTCCATACGTAAGGCGTAGCATAATTACCCAAGTGTCTGTATCGAGATCATTTCTCACTGACGACTTTTTGTCTCTATTTGTCTTATGTAGACTGAGACAAGGTTTACAGTGCTTGTGCGCTAGCATTAGCTGTTAGTGATATTCCTCAATGGATGCCCTGAGTCCTCTGATTTCGTTCACACTTGTTTAACCCACCTAGCGCCATTTTTGTATATGCAAGCCTCATTACCAAGGAACACGTTGTGACGAGACAGTGGATGCATGCAAGAATCGGATTATGCACCCCTACCTTCCAAACGGTGGCTTACTGATTGCCGGAAATCAAGCGTGTAAGATTAATGTGGAGGGTAACGTATGCCATGCTTTCATTACGGAGGAGAATGACCCCGCGTTCAGTTGTCATTGTGGATCACCCGAATGGTCTCCGGATCCGTCGCTACCGTATGATAACTGTTTCAAAAGACGGTCCATGTGTGATAGCGTTATTTGTGTCCACGGGAAGTGTGTGACTTCAGCTTCCGGCTTTCACGTGAGTTGCTACATTGAAATCTCCAAAACATTTTGAATGTGTTTGCGGAGCGGCGCACTCATGCCACCTCCATGAATTTTCTTGTCTTGCACTTTTTATGCTACCGATCCTGAGAGATCAGTTTGAAGTATTTGCATGGAACATGGCAATAACGGCATTCGAAGCAGTAACCACTGGTTTGCACCGACTTATGCTATCACAAAATTCTGAATACGGGCAAGGAATTAAACTACATAGCTTGTTTGCATTGTCTCCATATTTCTTGGGCCAGATTGAGTAGGCACCGCGACAATGAGAGGAGTTGTGTCCTCTTAAGTTGTCACTCGTTAGATAACGATATGGGATTACTGAGCTTTGCCAGTTCACTACTGTAAGCAAATTCTTACAATGATTTTGCATCTCGGTGCAAATACGTTTGGCATAGAATCAGGGTCCCATATTTCCCGGCTTGCAGGTGTCGTAATGCGCAACCATGAGTAAAGCACCTCGAGCTACCTCCGAGTCCATCGTATCGCTGTTAGTATTTTGTCCCTATTATACTTAACCAGATCCTTACACAAGACAATCAGTAAGGAGTGTAAGCAAAATCTACTAGAAACTCGATAGTGACTGATCAATGAATACCACACAGACTCGATGGCTTCGCTGACCATAATTATTCATAGCTTACCATCGTATGGACTCATATGTCGGCGCCTTTTAACGCAGGGTTTAATTAACCTACGTTTGGTCTACTGGCATTTTTCTACTCAAGAAGTCGGCTCTTTTAGGTATATACAAGAAGTACTTGAACTAAGGCATACCAAACACTTCCCTATCTGTGGTGGATAAATTAGTGTTTTGTGTATAGGAGCAAGCACTTGAGTTCCGTTAACACGTGGATATGTGTTTGATAGTGCGTCTTACTGAGATGCCTTCATGGTAAACGGACTGAAGTGCTGCCTGCAGATTGTTGCTAACAATCATCCAAGAGTTAAACCTGAGTAAAACTTTCTTTATTAGTGCGTTTTCTTGTGCTATAGATAAGGACAAATTGCAAATGGCTATATACAACCAAGTTGGAACACTTATAATAGATAAAAATACACCGTTTGCTACAAAATATTAGTTTTTTTCCCCATCTCAAATTCTATATCCTACGGTTTGTCTCGGGAAAACCGACATCGTCGGTATCCCAACATCATCATCATTAATAAACCTTAGCTGAGGGTGGGAAGCTCAGCTCAGCTAATGTGCCGCAATAGGAAAAGATAAGACACTTAAAAACGTCGTTGCAAAGAGTTCAACAAGTAATGGTAAATCTTTTATTACATATTTCGTATGACCTCGTAATTGTAAGGGCAACCTAAGAGGACGGGGTGGACGAAGGAAGCTCACAACACAAACGCCATTAGGACCGGCTCCTAGCCATATCAGCAAGTGTGTCCAATCGAACGTGTTCATCAACCTTGAAACCCCAACCAGGCAGTCGGGAAGCACCAACCGACGCCAACTTCGAAGTGAAGGCTTTCATTCCTCTTGACCAGGTCACCGTTTGGCGTCCACTGCTCTTCCATCCCCACAGCCGGCTCGCAAACAATGCACGGAGCCGGTGTGCTGGCGTGCCCAACAACTGACCTAGTTATCGGAGCCTGGTGCGTGAAATAACGCTGCTGAGCGGTTCACTCACTCTTCCCGCACCAAATACGAAACGCCGAGCACGCTCATTGTTCTCGCAGTGCTCCCACCAGACATGAACTAGGCTGAGAGAGCAGCGACGATCGATCGGGTCTAGCCTGTTTATATCTGTCAACCTGATGCGCCAGGTTTCACAGCCGTATAGGAGGGTTGAACAAACGGCAGCATTATAAACTCTACCCTTCACGGCTAGAGTGATGTCATGTCGGCAACATACATGGTAGAGGTTCGCCAAATCACCTCGAGATTTTGCTATACGGTTCGTGGCTTCATCTTCGATGCCACGGGCGCTAATATAGCTGTCCAGGTACTGGAATGCCTGAACGGCTTTTAGCTAATCCCTAGCGTATACTAGAAGAATATCAATGCAGCATTCATTTAGGGAGAATGAGCAAGGTGACCGTGTTGTATTTCTCTGATGCTCCTTCAACTACTGGGTCTATTTTCCTCCTCCCTTTGCATCTGTTTGAGTTTGAAAATTTACAGGTTCAGAAATAACAGGGTTGGCTACTTTACGTTTAGCGCCACCCCAGCTGAAACATTTTCCTATATATAAGCTCCCTATCCGTTACGTGGGACCTCATGTGAAATACGCACTCTAAGCCTGGCAGCCTTGACAGAATAAAGATCTCGCAGCGTCCCAGACTCCACAGCGAACAGCCACCAATCACGTCAAAAAGTTGCTTCACTTTTCATATCAATTTAGGCTGAGGACTCTATTTATTCCGGCGGTCAGTGTGGGCGCCTACGTGGCCACCTAATAATGGCCTACCGGATTCTAAAGTATCCCCAACCATGTCTGTTGCCAGTTACTGCAACTCAGTCACAACACGAAGTTAAGGGGCCATCAGTTAAAGTTAACCACGCGTTATAGTCCGCTAGAACGTCGGTGGATTTTACACTCTTCGTGTCTGCCAGCCATGGAACGCCCTCTCAAATTACCTTGTTTCCTCTCCCACATTGTGTGTGTTTAAAAAACGCCTTGGTGTTCCCCTAACCCACCTACATTAAGAGGTGCAGTCTGTGCATATGGACAGACGATATGCTGTGACGAAGGTTGCACAACCAGCATTACCCTATGCAATCGAGTTCCGCTCTTTTCTTCATGCTTCTGTGTGAACACTATAGTGAGTCTACTAAAACAACTTCATTTTGTCACCATACTTTCTTTTCAACATTTGTGTTTCTTATACTAGCCCTACTAGGAGACCTTTTAAGCAATTACTTTTAACCCGTAAAACAGCATTGTTCCATTGTAAGCAACGCATTCGGCAAACATTCATGCTGTGATATGAGGCAAATGAGTCCAGCCGCCGGCTATAAGTCCATCATGGAGCTCTTCTCTTCAGAGTTATCCGACTTCGTATCTAATGTCAACAGCCTACAGTCAACCTTCAAGCAGGCAGACGCGGCATTGAAATTCCTGAGTTCTATCGAACAAAATGAAATTTCCTATCAGTACTATGGAACTCACTCAGTGCATCGTTGCCATTTTATGGACAATTTCCTTTCACAAAGTGAGATAACGCTTAATATTGAGCGTTTGGCCCTTTTGCGGTGTGTGCTTTTAGTATCGACTTCTGGACTAATGAAGAAAACATCAATATGGCCTAACCACACGAACTGGGAAATATATATGTCCTCATTTTCCCCTCAGGTTGCCAACTTGGGATGAATAAATAGCAACAACACAGATAAATGTCCACTAAGTTTTGACTGTCTGGTTAAGTGTAATGCAGCAATAATAGGTGCTGATGTTCTGTGGACTTAGAAGTGACTACCTAATTCAAGAGATGTTAACCAAAGATCAATGGACACCAACCTGGTCTGTTCAAGTGACTGGAGGATGTACTTCACAAATGTGTACGGTTCAGGTGCGTACTGGTTTCTTACCCATGTATTTCCCATAACCTTGGTTTGGTTGATTCTGCACTACATGGTGGAAAGATTGCGGCATAATCAGTTCCGTAACCCAAATATAACCAGTGTATAAGCGCTAGGTGTCCAGTTGTCATTAACACAGCTTCGTGATGTATTTGTTAGGTAAAGCAAACTGACAGAGAATAATAAATAAGGCACAAATCTGACCAACAAGTTCAGGCAAGAAGCTTAAATCATTGCATATAAGCTCAAATTATTGAAAAATGGATATCTAATGTAACAGCTAAAATGGATTTTAAACTGTTATACCGTCGATCTTATGCTATCATCCAGCAACGTAGAATACCTCAGCAGGACAGTCTTTTACCTGAACATTTTTCTTCCATGCTGAGCTAACAAGGATTCGTCCTCTTTGTGTTACTAGATGCTTGCATCTAAAAAATAAGTCAGCATTTTGCTTTGAAGAACACGGCTACTTCGAAAACGACAAAGGTTACCACCTAGAAGAAGATCTCCGCTCCGTAGCTTTATCGCAGGCTTTTGTTTTGCTATTGGTTTATTCCCCTTATTTTACAAAAATTTTCCATCGAGTTATGTTCGGCCCGTTCTAAATGCATGCCATTCTTAGTTGTACTTGTACAGTGAGGCCCAAGTCAACTCGAGTAAGCGATATATGCACCCAGGCTGGGTGAATAATCGGCTGTGACATAATGCTCTCAAAAACGTAAAAATAGAATCATAAATAAAAGCAAACCAGAAATGCGGGCTGACAAAGGATGAAAAGAATATCGTCATAGCGTAAGTTGGTGGAATAATTTTGGAACTACTTTCTTGGGGTTAAGCACCACCTGCAAAAAGAAGAAAATCATGGGTTTCGTTGGCATGCACTAGAAAGAAGTTGCGTGCAAGAGAGACCAACCCGACAACGCTGCTACCAAGCTGAAAAGATCATGTACAATGTTTGCGTCCACTCTTCCTTACATGGTGATTTCGGAAATTAATGACTAAGAACATGTGACTCGGTTGTTTCTCTCTCCACGGGTTAGACTTCGGTCGGTTCAAAGTGTGCGAACTGCATGAGAGCAAGGAAACATAATTAGGAAGCCCGGAACCTTTCTGAGCCTTTGAAAATTAGTTGGCATGCCGTCTTTGTTTCCGCCCGGTCTATCAGCCATGGCACATGCACTAAAGGAAGGTGGATTCAGTTTCATTAACTTCACTTATTGTACTGTCTAATTCTCACATCAGCATGGTGTCTGCTTACGTAGGCTATTGTTGGATGAAAGCACGAAACGGAAATTAGTCGATAACCCGAGTACGTGAGTTGGAGACTTCCTTTGTGAGAGTGGCGCTGACTGAATTGTGCAAAATTCTAGTCTGGTGATCTGGTTATGGCAGCTGCGTTTAACTGGACACTTTTTCGTGTTCGGACTACTATATGTGTTATGGAATGAATTTTTCTTCTCATTCACATTGCCTATCCGAAATGGATCTATTTATGATCTAATAACTTTTCTCTCGAGTTGCTTCTTACATTACAGCACCGGCTAGTGACTTCAACATTCTTACCAATGATGTTTGTCTCTGTTGGATCAACCAATACTCAGTTAACTAGACAATTTTATTCCTTCAGCCTAGTTCATCCCTCTGATACCACCCAATCAACTTGGGGGCTTATCATGCAATCAGCCAGCTGCTTTCTATCGAAGGTTATAAGCTTATTAGAAGTGATCGAAAACAAGGCAGAGGAGGTGGTTGCATAATTTACTACTCACAGAACCTCACTGTGTCTGAATTCACACTTCCACTTATATGCCCCACTATTGATTCCGCTTGGTTACTCTTGTCCTTTGGTACTAAGCGAATTCTTGTAGGCTGTATATACCGCTCACCCGGGACCAGCCTCAGTGATGAGAACCAGTTGGTTGACATCTTCAATTACATATCGGACCTTGGTTCTTTCGATAAAGTTGTAGGTGGAGATTTCAACCTACCAGATATCTGTTGGTCAAACTTAGTAACAAACGCGAAACATGCAGAGTTCATAACCTCCGTCCTCACTGGGGGTTGGGAGCAACATGTTCTCGTGGCTACCAGGGGGAAAAATATATTAGACCTACTTTTTACCTCAGGCACCTCCCAGATAGCTACTGATGTAATTGACGGTCTCCCTGGATGTGATCACAAAATAGTCAGATTTAAACTTATAGCTGAGTCGTCGCATGTGAGGTTTGCGATGGTTCCACACTTCCTGCGAAATATTAATTGGGTAGATTTCTCAGCTTTGCTTAGGGTCCAAAATTGGGACCATTTCTTTCTTTCGTCTGATATTAAGGGAGCCTCCGATATCTTCTATGACAATGTGGCTATGTGCTTAAGCATACCTGCCTCCTGTGATAACACGAGAGTCTCTTCTAAATACGCTAATAATGCAAAGGACAAGCGGAAAATTCGAGTGCTAACTCGAACATTTGAACGTACTCATGACTTCAGTGTATTATTGAGACTCCAACGCCTTATAATTGAGATGGACATGAAACATCGAACTCGTCTCATGCAGGAAGAACGACGGGCTGTAAATAGTAGTAATACAAGTCAACTGGTGACTGCATTACTGAGGAAAAGGAGAGGTGGCAAAACTGACCTACCCTCCCACATCGTCATGCCTGAAGGTGATTGCATTGATTCCCCAATCGCCATGGCGGAAGCCTTTAACTCATACTTTGCTAGATCCTTTAATGTTGAAAAAGAAACCCTGGATTTGTCAACCTCATTTCACTTCTCTGAACAAGTCCCAGCGATCGAGCTTAGTGTTGCTACGATAAAACGTATGCTTACTTGTCTACGACCATCCTACAGACCTGGCCCCGATGGGATCTCTTCTGCTTTAATCAAACACGGTGGAGATGATATCCCTCTTATTGTATTAAATATCTTCTCTTTGTCTCTCCAGTCTGGTCAATACCCCGAACGTTGGAAAACGGCTACGGTCATACCGAGACATAAGTCCGGGTCGAAAACTGACATCCGGAACTACCGCCCCATTAGTCACACAGCCATTCTCTCACGCATGCTAGAGAGAATTGTTAAGGAACATTTGGTTTCGTTCCTAATATCGCACAAACTTCTCTCACCTTCACAGCATGGCTTTCTGAAATCTCGCTCGTGTGTTACCTGTCAAGTTGACTTCCTTAACCATCTAACTGAAGCAATTGACTCAGGTCTTCAGTGCATTGTTATCTTCCTCGACATGCAAAAGGCTTTTGACAGAGTCCCACACAAAAAGCTGTTATGTAAATTAAGTAAGTACGGTGTTACAAACCCGCTTTACTCTTGGATCCAATCTTACCTTGTAGGACGGTCGCAAGTTGTGGATATCAATGGTTACATCTCTTCACCTCGTTCGGTTACCAGTGGAGTGGTGCAGGGCAGTGTCTTAGGCCCGTTGCTCTTCCTACTGTATATAAATGACCTGGTTTCTGTCATACAATTTGGGAAGCCTTATTTATTTGCTGATGACTTAAAGGTTGTCTACACGTTCCCAGGTTCTCAGCGTACCGCTGAAGTTAGCAATATCCAAAGCGACTTGAAAGGCATTGAGAGATGGGCTGATATGTGGCAGATGACATTTGCAACATCGAAGTGTAGTATTCTATCGTATGGATGTCAGATAGCAGCAGAAGTGTTCAGGCTTCATGATGAAGTCATTCCCATCAGCCAGTCTGTTCGTGACTTAGGTTTAAGATATTCTAATTCGTTAAACTTTAGCGAACATACAAATCATATAGTGAAAAAGGCTAAGCAGTCGGTCGGGCTCATATGCCACCTGCTAACCTTGGAAGAAACCAGACTAATTGCTTTCAAAATCATTATCTGGCCTTTGCTTGAATATTGTTGTGCTGTGTTCAGTAACTTGCGAAAGGCTGACTTGAGAGCCATTGAAAACGTCCAACGCGCCTTTACGAAGCGCATATTTGGCTGTTCAACCGCTCTTTCATACCGAGATAGGTGCAAGCAATTGAATCTTGAACCTCTGTGGTTACGAAGAATGCAACTAAATCTGTGCTTCCTCCACAAACTCGCGTGGCCGAAAGCATATGTTGGAACCTATCAATTGCACTTTCGGGAAAACACCATTTATGAACTGCGAGATAATGAATGCATATTCTATTTACCTAAATTCAAGAGCAGTCTAAGGAGAAATTTCTACCTTCTTAGGTATGGCTCCATTTGGAATAAGCTGCCAAAAGAGATTAGATGTATTGAACATTTCTGCATGTTCAAGAAAATGATAAAGGCTTATCTAGCAACGGACAGAGCGAAATGGATCTTAAACATTCAATTTGATGATGAAAAACTGTATGAAGAAGGGCCGGATCATGTATGATACCGGAGAACATCAACTCTACTGCACCAGAGAAAACTTGATCAGCTAGGATGAGCTGATACAAACCGCTTCTTATGCTATTCCTTAACGCTGCATTCCATGCGGTTTTACTCCCTTTAAACTTAATTCATATCAACTGTCTTCTGTTTAAAACCGAGAGCAAAATTATTTACTGGTGTGACGTCAGGAGCTATTTTCGTAATTTTCCCCACAAACTGATTAATTCGTAATATTGTTCTGCGATCCCTTTCGCTATATTTGTTCTCCAGTGATAATCATTTCCCCCTCTTTTCTAAAACTAACAGTCCAGAAACATATACTTGAATTCAGGGATGGCAATAACTGATTCCCTACGCGACTTTTGCCTATGGACAACTTGTACAGTCATCTATCTCCGGGTGTCACGCTACACAATTTATCGTATGATCGGCTCGATGGATTTCTACGCCGATGTACAAAACATACCTGCCTATTTCTTACATTAACGATATAGTACCTCTTTCACAGAATTCTTCTTTTCTATATTCTTCCTTATTTCATAGTTGGCCACGACTGGGCTGATCTCCTGTGGTGACGGATTACAGCTTCCAGATTATAAAAGACGTTACCTATGCAAGGCAAATTGCCACCAACTGTCTGGCGTATAAAAAAGTGCCATAATAGAATGATCCGCATGACGGACTGGGCTGAGCCTTCATGGTCCATAATACATGTTCAAAAACAGCTCTAAAATGAACAAAACATATGATATACTGGTGATGGCTCATATGCTACTATGCCACACCGGCACACGGCCAGTTATTGCATGGAAGTGCGAGCGAAACCTTTCGAGGGAATACCTTGCATGGAAGCAGGTCCCCTGGGGATGGTTCCACGAGTGGCCGTATTACTTTAACTGGACATCTGTTTATATTTGCTTACGTTATTGTTCCTGGTTTTTAATTTCTTTAATGCCTTAATCCTGCCAATTAGTTTAGTACCTGTTTTTGGATCCATTGTAAAAAGTGTGAACAAATTGATTATTTTTTTTGCGATCTTGTTGTACACATTGATCAGACCACATAGTTGGACTGCACCTCGGAACACCGAGGAATATAACATTTATCATTTATCATATTCCTTTGGTCGACAACAGGAAAGACAGTACTCGTTACAATTATGGTATGTCAGTCAGTGTCATAGCAACTACTTTTTCCGCTCTGGGACGGTGGTAAAATATTCACCCTGACTGACGGAAAAATAGGCGCATGAAGGCCACCCAATCAACTCAGGGTCAAGTGCACATTAGTTTTCGATGAAATAGATACTCTTTTAGGAAACCGAAGTAAATGTGGTCGAAATGACCACAATGGGACAAGTAAGGGGATCTCTGGGAAGAAGTTTTGCACAGGTGTGACGCATGGCGCAAAGGTGTTGTTGGTCATACAGAGTAACATTAAAATGTTCCATACTCAGCTTATCTGAACATTTTGCTCCCTATATTTGATATCAGTTAATCGACAATACTAAAAACACCGCCTCCTGTCACATGCCGCCCGAGGCAGATCAACCCCTTCGCTATGCCTCTGGTGTCAGCCAGCATTCTCGTTTTTTCTCTTATCTGATTGCAGCCTTACTGTGTGTGTGACTCGGGATACAGTGGTTCGATGTGCGATGAATGGACGGGAACGTGGACAAATTGGTCCCCTTGGGATAAGTGTAGGCCAGCTTGTGGCAGTGTCAGGTACAGCATTCGATTCCGCGATTGCCAGTTGTCAAATGAGGAAATGGACGACCGACGAATGTGCGTGGGCGCACCGATCGAATACCAACAGTGTGCAGCGCATCCATGTACAAGTGAGTTTCCAATGCTTGTTTTTCGTTAACGAGAGTGTCCATCTCATAAACGGCATCCTATTAAGCCTCGACGAGTTCCAGAGTAAGGGACCAGGCTACGTTAACAACGTTGCCTCTACTTGACTACCGCAACCACGCAAAACCACCACAGATTAATACTATTTTCTAAGAGATGGATTTGCCAAATACAAAGAGGTTGGTTCTTCTATGGATGGAACCCACTGGAATGCAGCATAAATAGAAGCAGGGACAGGTAGCATTTCACAGACATTAAAATGCACCAGTGCTAGCAACACTCGTTTAGATGCATCTTGTAACTTTGTTTGAATGAAAATTCGGTCTAGAGGAAAGAGATCTAGTAAAATGTAGTTTACTTATAGCTTGTGCCTCAAAAATTTTCGTTACTACCATCATCACCATGTTTCGCTACCGTACAGAAGAACAGACAGAACCATGGAGTTGTACACAATCAGCTTCGTGTAGATGGTGAGCTGATTGTTGTTCCACAGTCAGTATAGCTTCCCGAATACCGCCGCCGCTGCCTTCAGTACGTGGATAAGCAGCTCACTGTGTAGCTGCTGGTCAGTTGACATCACACCCCCACGGTAGCAGAAGTGGGAGGTGGTTTCCAACGCCTCGTCACCAATGCTGATTTGCGGCAATATTGCAGATTGCACCTCTGGTGAAGGCTGAAGGAGACAGATAGTTTTACTTGTGTTGATGGTGAGCACGCATTTGGGTACTGTCGAAGCCAGAGCTCTAGTCATATGCTGCAACTCGTCCGCACTGTGTGCAAACAACGCACCGTCGTCCGTAAACAGCGGCATACGGATAGTTGTCTCACAGACTAGGGTTCTCACCCCGAGATGACGGATTTTCAGCAACCCACCATTAACACGGTGCTCCACACGAACACCGTAAGCACAAACAGCATCAAATGCACGAGACATCATGGCATCATGAGAAATAGTAAACAGCGCAGGAGCCATGACAGCCTTGCTTCACACCAGTGATAAATGCAATGTCATCCGAAGTCTCTCCACGCAGCTGCACCCTCGCCCGCATACCTCTTTGCTTACCTTCAATTAAGTCTACAAACGTTATCGGACAACCAATCTTTCCCAACGCCAGCCACAGTGTGTCGCAGTTTACCGTATCATATATTTTGGTGAAATCAAAAAAGCGAGTACAAATGCCGGTGTCCTTCCCTACACTTCTTTTGCAACTTATGAGCCACAAACACCATATTTATAGTGCTGCGACCCGAACGGAATCCACATTGCTCTTCCGCCACGTTCGGTTCCACAACCTGACTGACGAGACGGTTGAGCACGATTCGGGCAATCACCTTGCCCACACAACTCAGCAAGTTGAGGCCAGGACAATTCGTGCAACATTGCTTGCTCCCTTTGTCCTTGTACAGTGGTAGCACAAGGGCATACTTCAGCTCAGGAGGCACTTCCTCCTCAATCCACACGCGTTGCACCAAGTGGTGCAGCGCAGTCACCAACGCGAGTCCACCGTGTTTCAATACTTCACGCAGGATCTCGTCGGCACCGGTACGCTTGCCGTTCCGCAGCTGAGCAAGTGCTCTCTGCATCTCAATCAGTGTCGTTGTGTCCGTCAGACTCACCTTCACCTGGTGCTGCTTCAGGCTGTTCAAAGTAGGCCAGTCAATCTCTGAACGGTTGTTCAAGAGACAGTCAAAACGTTTTTGCCAGCTCTGCATTATGTCTGCAGTGTGTGTGCAGGTAGCACCTGAACTACCATCGATTAGCGTCCTCAACGGCTCCAACCTCGGTCCATACACCGCCTTCAAGAAGTCAACGAATTCCTTGTGTTGGCGGCGTTCGGCGTAGCATCCCAACTGCCTAGCCTACTCTGTCCACTATGCATTTTTAATGCGACGGATCTCACAGATAAGTCGTCGTCGAATGCGCCCAAACTTTCCCTTCTTCTTCAAGTTGCTGCAGTCTACCACATGTGCAACAAGTGGTGCATTCTTCTCCGACACTAAGGCGCCAATCGTCGCATTGTTCTCATCAAACCAGTCAGGCCGCCTACAGTTTGGGCGCCCGAGCGTCTCCTCGGCAGCAGTTGTCACCTGGTCGCAAATATGGCGCCACAGGTCGCCCACTGTGGCTATGCAGTCCACATCACTCAGGCGTGTAGCCTTCGCCTTCTCCAGCTCAACATGTTTCGTCCCACTACCGAGGGAGAATGTTAAATTTATGCAGGTTCACGGCGGGACTGCAGTACATAGATTTGCGGAAATCTATCTTCAGGTTCCTCCGCACCAATTGGTGCTCAGTGCCACACTCTGCTCCACGCAGTACACGTGCCATGCGCACTTCACGCATATCACGCTTACGTACGATGACACGGTCGAGCAGGTGAGCGTGACCACTCCGTGGGTGCGTCCAAGTTCCTATATCACTCGCACTCAGTGCAAACCGACTGTTCGTGGTCGTCAGGCTGTGAGTGGCACACACAGTGAACAGCCTGTCACCGTTCGCATTCGCTGAACCAATGACATGCGGACAGAGTAAATCTGTCTACACCGAAGCATCACGCCCAACGCGCGCGTTGAAAACATCCAGCAGAATAGTCGGTCGATCCTCGGCATAGACCGTATCACAGAATACCTGAGTGTAGAATTGTTCACGCGTGTCATCAGGATAACACATAGTTGGGCCGTACGTGCTTATGAAGGTGGCAAACTTACCTCTTCCGAGTCGTAGGCGAACAGTCATCAGTCGCGCGCTGATGCCTGTTGCTTCACCCACCAGGTGGCCATTTAGGAGATCGGATATTTGAAATCCGACTCCATGTTCACATGGTGCTGAGGTGGCTTTGCCCACCCTATATAACGTGGAGCCAGCACCTGGTTCATGGAAGTTACCTTGCTCAGCGAGCCAAGTCTCACTGTGCGCCGCAATGTTGTAGCGCGCGTTCCATCGCGACCAGTGCAGTGCGTCGCTCGGGGCGCTCACTCGAGTTTCGGTACTAGATTTCGCGCAGGTTCCAGCAGCCGATGTTGCGTGCTTTGCGCGCAGCAATACGATTACATTGGTGGGCAATCGCATGCGCTTTGGCGGTTGTGCTTCCTAGATTTGCTTGAGCGCCTCCACCCGGAGCCTTTGGCTCAATAGCCTGACCCACAAGGCAGTGGGTGGTTTGGAGGTTTGCTTGAGGGACCTCGCCCGAACACTATAGCTCAATAGCCTAGCTCACCAAGCAGTGGGGAGCAGATCCATCTCGTGAATGTGATTGCACAGACAAATTTGGATCTGCCTAAGTTCCGTCACACTCAGATTTTGTGGTACTGGAACGATTCATATATGTTTGTGACTGTAGTAGGATCCGCACCTGCAACCACGGCCAGACGCAGGTGGGTTTTGGTGGGTTTGCACCAATTTGACCAGGGACTGCCTGACCTGACGCGGGTAGTAGCAAACCATTGAACACTCGGAGGTGCCGTCCCACCGTCAGAGACAATGCATGGTGCTCCTGCTCTACGCCAATCGAGCTGTGAGCTTTTAACCCGTAGACCTGTTGTTTCCGATGGTACGGTTTTACTGGAAGAGTGCCACCGACCATTTCCTAACCTCCGAAGTGGATGGACTAGGATACTGGAAGGACGCCCACTCCTGACAGGAGAACGACTCGGGTCCTCCGCCAAAGCCTTCGATTAAATGTATACCCGAAAGGCAGCGGGTCTACGACATAGTCAGTTCACTGACTCAAGTGGATTGGTGCCCTAGATCTTAGCGAGATGAGGGTGTAACGCAACTCATACCTAGCGGTCGCCACGATGAGGTGTCCTGGACATCAGCCCATGGCATAACAGTAGCAGCAGTGGGTAGAGTATCTGTCAGGACCTAGCTACCACCAGCCTTAGCGCACTATGAGCTCTTTTGCCCATGCCTATATATATATATATATATATATATATATATATATATATATATATATATATATATATATATTCAAGATGTTACTGTTGGTGATAACACCATCTTGGCAGTTGCGGTGTATAAATGGCCGGTCACACCTTGAATCCTCCTATCGTCACAACAGCGTCGTCCACGTCTGCATGGATTCGGGTCTTTAGTACCATTATTTCGTCTTGTTTCGAGTATTCACGACATGCAGTCCGTACTAGTAATCTCTTCCCTTTTACCCAGCTTTCGGTTTTTAAGTATAATGGGCGTGGTCATACTTCGCAATCTTTATTCCCTATGGAAATTCTCCATCCAGCGCGACACCTTTTATTAGAATTATTGTGCCTCTTATAGATTCGGTCCAATCTGTTTCTTGTAGCTTAATAGTGGGAAGCTAAACAGTTCTTCTGCTCAGAAACACATCCGTTTTAAAAGGACGCGAGTGCCAATTACCACGATTTTCGTTTGTAGAATGGTTTGGTGTAGAAAAGAAGAAACACCGGCATAAACGCGTGTTAGTACTTCAGCAAATAGTTAGGCTCCGTCATATTAAATCGCTTGGTACGAACTTACAACATTACTGCTACTACTTGCATTGAAGGCCCTCCGCCCATCTTTTGTTTGGCCGATAGCTGTTGAACACGGCGGTAATGCTGGTTGTTGATCATAGGACTCTACGTGCTAAGCGTTCTACGCACTACTACGACACTATGGTGTTAGCATTCGAACATTCTCTCCTCCGCATTTGCTAGCCTTTCACTGATTTTCGTGTTGAGCTATCATCTTTATGTAATACGAGAACATCTGGTTATGGTTTTGCCCTTTGTTTATTGCCACTTTTACAGTCTTTGATAGGTCTTATAATTTGCTGTTTAATCTGTCTAATCCTCTCTTGATGCCATTGATGCATAACTGATCATCTGTACACCTGAAGATAGAATGCTTTTTTTAGGTTCAGCACTTAGCCACGGCAAATATTTTGACTATCAGCTTTCTCCGCCAAGTTACCTATGTTGTGTTATACACAGTTTGTGTACACTTACCGTTTTGGCTGTCTTGGATTTTTCATTCACTAAATGATTCCATTGCGCACCTTGTTTTCAGAGAGCGAAGGCAGCTTCTTGACTAACTACTTCACGGTGCGTCAAAGTGCTATTGCATCCAGCTTATCCACTGCCGCTGTCATCACCGGTCTGATCACAGTGCTTTGGATAGTACTTCTGAGAACAACTCTGGTAACGCCACTGAGGATCCTTTTGCAGAAGTGGAGGTGGTGGTTTGCTTTCCGTTACAGACGTCCTCGTGCCACGATCACGTATGATTATACCTGACTATCTCCAGTTGGACTGTCACTATCGATGCCTCGGAACTACACCTTGATGATGTATTTGGAAATTTCACTTTATAAAACAACTTTTTCATTCTAATACAGGCGAAGCATTATTTGTAAAACAGGATAGAATCAGATCATTGATGAAAGCCTTGCCATTGTATCATTGCTGGTTCTTTTAAGGCATCACTTGTGTGGATAGATTGCAGTGCTTGAACACAATCTGGATCTGGAGTCATTAACGTGATCCTTGGTCCGTTCGATCAGTGGGATGAACAATGAACAATGAATTTATACGGGTTAAGAAGCGTTGCTTTACAAGTCCCGTTGGATAGTTGCAAGGGATATCAACATAACAATAATGATGATAAGGATAGTAAAATAGTTAATACTTTAAATATGAAAATAAGGACTTATCGTTTGCTTCGCTGCAATCCTGCGATCCTCTTAGATTCACAGCATCCACAATTAACAACAAATAATTCCAGGGTAAACTCCAGGTGTAGGATGGAGACGTAGTGTTAAGTAACAAAGTGTAAGTGGATGAGTGCATCGTCCAACCGTCTTTTAAATACTGTTAGTGTCGGTGCAGAGACGACCGATTCTGGGAGAGCATTCCACGGGTGACAGACACGAATGGAAAAGAAATTTCTGCGGCACTCCAGACGACCGTATTGTTCTGCGAGTTTAATGAGTGGCCCCTCAAGTTTGTATTGCTGCTGAGTTGCAGTAAAGGGCGGCACACATGATGTGGGTCTCGCAGAATCAAGTATGCTATAATCAGGTCGCCTCGTAGTCTGCGATAGCTTCCACTGAACAATCCCAGTCGTCGCAACCTCTCCTGGTAGGAAAGATTGCGCATTCCAATTACGTTCTTAGATGCCCGGCGTTGTGGCTGCTCCAGTGCATTAAGGTCGTGTTTCAGCCATGGATGCCAGGCTTGAATTGCATATTCGACATGGGGGCGAACATACGCACTGAGCATTTGTCGAAATATGGAGCTGTTTATTTGTCCAAACGCGCGCCTCAACAGCCCGACGTGTTGGTTCCCGGACTTCGAGGCCTTTTCGGATTGCCTGGAGCAACCCAAGTCATCTTGAACCAGGACACCCAATCCACGTTCGAGAGTTGCTTGTTGCAGTACATCCGTTCCGAGTCGGTATGAGTAGCTGCACTGATGTCGGATGGAAAGCACCTTGCATTTACTGACGTTGAAATGCAATAAGTTTTGGATCGACCATTGGTACACCGTATCTAAATCACTCTGAAGCACATGTTGGTCGGTGTTCGCCTGGATCCTGCGCCAGATCTTGATATCGTCGGCAAACATTAGGAAGTTTGAAGCGATTCCCTATGCTAGGTCATTAATAAACACCAAAAACAAACGTGGACCTAGAACCGAGCCTTGCGGCACACCACACTCGACTTGTATGGGGTCCGATAAAGAGCTCTGAACTCTGACCACTAATTGCCGTTGAAATAGAAAGTTGGCGATCCAGCTTAAATGAGGGTCTCCGATCCCGTAATGCTGCAGCTTGGATAGTAGTATCCGATGGTCTAGACGATCGAAAGCCTTGGAAAAATCCAGGTAGATCACATCAACACCTTCTCCAGCGTCGGCTGCCTCGGTCCAACTACTGCTTGCAATTAGTAAGTTAGTTGTACATGACCGCTGTCGACGGAAACCATGCTGTTCAGGAGTGATGAGGTTGCAGTTCTCCAGATAGCACACCAGTGCATCGGCAACTATGGATTCCATGACCTTGGAGAGTATAGGAAGAAGGGTTACTGGGCGGTAGTTGGATGGATCAGTTCTGCTTCCACCTTTGTGAATCGGGCTTATTATTCCAAGCTTCCACATGGCGGGAACTTGGTTCTGGTCTAAGCAGTGCTGGAAAAACTGAGCTAAAGGTCCTGCCAGTTGGTTTGCTGCTGCTCCCAATGCCTCTGGACGAATGGCGTCGACACCCGGCGAGCTGTGTTTGCGTAGAGAAGTCAGCTTTTGCAATACAGCCCCTGAGGTAAAATTGATGTGGGTTAGTCCTGGTGAGCAGAATACAAAGCTTGGTAGATCGCTTGATGGCAAGACTCCTTGAAACGTGTGGGCGTATTGCATCTGCAGCGCGTTTGCAGCTTCCATAGACGTTCTTGTTGGGCCATCATCCGTCTTGAGTGGAGGAAATCCTTGCCTCACCTTTCGTAGGCTATGAACGTGCTTGTACAGCAGTTTGTGGTTAGCACTGAAGGTTTTTGCGATGTTCTGCTGATAGGCGGCTTTGTCTTCTCTTAACAGTTGTATGCAGTGGTTACGTTGGGCTACGTAGTTGTCCCACGTTTCTGGTGCTGGAGCTTCTCTGTACACTCGCCATGCTGCGTTGCGTACTGTCATCCATTTTCGGGTTCTGCTCCTAACGAAAGAAACTGATTTGCACTTATTGCAAGCTTTTATCTCTGAAGCCTGTGCAATCAGCTGACTGAATGTGTTGACGAACTCGAGCCAGGCGACTTCCGGGGGTTCTTCTTCGAGGAAAGACCATGTTGTGGCGCTGACTAGCTGGGCGAGTCGGTCGTACCTTGTGATGGTTCGCACAGTATCATCGTTATCATTCAGCTATTCTGCATAGCAGACGAAGTTGAAACTGATGACTGCATGATCACTGCGACCCAACGGGCAGTCTAAAACCAACGCATCAATCATATGCTCCTCGTTGGTAAGCACAAGATCTAGCACAGATGGCCTGTTACCAGTTCTGAACCGAGTGGGCAAAGTGATGTGGTTGTAAAGAGGAACAGTAGTTACTAGATCTTGTAAATCGGTTTTGAATTGTTCGCCGGTTGTGGCAGGGGCTTCTAAACAATGTACGTTGAAATCACCCATGATAAACATGTGAGTGTACTTTTGTTGTAAACTGCACCTTAAAGCAGCCATTAGGTGGTAGTCGGTTTCGGGTGTTGAGTTAGGGGCGCGGTACACCATGACAATAAGGCAAGCGTCCCTGCCTTCAAACTGCAACCGGCACCAAAGAGAGTCAGGGAACTGCGAGTCTGAATCCTCCACGGCTTCGCACTGTAAGTCGTTTCGGTAGTACAGGATTACCCCTCCTCCTTTTGTGAGCCTGTCGTTCCGGATCAGCAACATGCCGGGTAGCGACACTTCAGCGTCCGTCATTCCCGTGTGCAACCATGTCTCGGTGATACCAATGACATCATACGAGCCGGAAGCTTGGCGATCTTTCAGTTCAGCCAGTTTGTTAGGAAGTCCCTGAGCATTTGTATACAAGCAGGCCAGTTTCTCGGTCTCTAGGAGCCCGCAGAGAGGTGAAGCTGTCAAGTGTGGGAGAATGGATGGAATCTGATCGAGTGAGATAGCGTGTCGCTCTCCATACACATATGCTGCTGTCCCAACAGAGAAAACCTTGTCATTGAAGGTTCTGAAACCCATTGCTCGAAGTCCGGTGGTGCTGATGTAATGGCGTCAGATGGCTGTCTTCACGTCCCGGGATTGAATAACACCCCCTTAGCTCCGCATGAAGAATGTAAACTAGCATGAGACCAGTCGTGGAGCACAGTGATGCAAGCACTAACTTCCAACACAGCACCCGCGAGATGGTAACAGCGCCCACTAGCCATGGACGCAAGTCGATCACATCGAGATCAGTTACCGCTGGAGAGGCTGCGTCCAAAACTGTCGCTCCATTTGGAACAGAGGGTGGAGTCTGACCATGCACTTGCATGTGCCTACCTGCGGGCGCCTTTCGGTGGACGCTGGCGAGGGCGCTGTAACCGCATAGGCACTTGCCAATCGGCGAAGCTGCGGTTCCTAAATACATGTCGAAGTATACTTATATTAACTAAATACAATTCAGGGTCATTGGTCACATGAACTTAATTTATTAGCGGCAGGAAAGTCTTCATTTGCCAAATCTGATTTCTAACGTGGACATCGGGTATCTGCGCCGTCTCTGAAGCTTCTGGATGCTCGCCGGCACATTTTATTTGGGTGCGAACACGACGATACTAGCCAAAATCTGAGGGTGAAACGGCATGCCAACCGAAGGGAGACTGTTCATGTACTTTCATTTTTCCCGTTATTCCGCTGGTGATACAGTTTCTGAGCTTGTGACAATAAACTTGGCACGATGGATAACGAGCACTTTTCCGGATACGGGATTGCGAAGTGTCATTGCCACAAACTAGCTAAATCATGTGTGCAACAAATAAAGACTGAAGAAATTGACTAATTCTTACATAGTCTATCGATTTGAGTGTACCGGTGGTGCAACCTATATTGGTCAAAGGGTTCATCAATTGTCGCATCGCCATAAATGTTCGGTGTACGGAGGCACCGAAGTTCTTAGAAGCAGTATTTTGTCCCACCTATGGAAATCAGGTCACCGGACTAACCTTCCGTATGTGTTTACTGTAGTTTCTAAGGTTCCCACGAGCATATCAAAAGATTTGCGCTTTAAGAAGCTCACCAAAGAGGCCATTGCGATCCGAATATTTAAACACCCTCCGCCCTGTCAGAACAACCATCCAACTAGCCGTCTCTCTGACATTGGCTCAGGCGTTATGATTACGTACCTCTCAACCATTCTGTCTGAATGAGACAGCGGCGAACTATTTGCTGTCTAACAATTGACGCATATATTTCTTGACAAACTAAAGCAATCATTACCCATTCTTTTGTCTTTTAAGCCTAGATGTTTGGTACCGAAGCGCAAATGAGTCAGAGAAATCAATTGCTTGCCTCACACTGGCCTTCTTGATGAATCGATGAGAATGTTCCATATTTTGAAACGTACAAAGCCACCTCACATGGTCAAGGATCATACACTTCCACACGTCTTGCTGAAGCTAATAGTTACGTTCCGTTTCTGAATGATCGTATGAAAACTCGTGAATACTCAACCGCACTTTAGAAATATCCACCGAAGCCGTATTTCTTCAAACTCTAAAACTCTCCGAGGTCAAGCGCTAAGTCAGCACGATATTGTTTGTAGTGAAATTCCTGAACTTCTACGAAACATCGCTCAAATATAATCCAATGTCGATGCACTTGCTCCAGAGGAACATCGACAGTTTGTGGAATATGTTCAACAGATCATGGAAGCTTGCAGAAACACGTGATGCTTTCACACAATTAATTAGTCCTATGAAGCCAC